ACATGTTGAGACCATGAAGAATGTACTACTACTGTGTGGACTCGAAATGTAAAGCTTGAGTAAAAAATGAGTAAGATGCGTTAGAATATCAACCGCAATTAGCATGCTAAATGCATTGAAAATGAATGAATGAATGAACTACCAATCGCCTGTAATGACCTGACGATCACTGGAAATACTTAAAAAACGTGATCAGACACTCTAGCTCACTTCTTAAGACCATAGAGATGGTGTTACAACAGTGTGGAGTTGAAATTCGATGTGTAAATAAATATGCTTTTGAAGTGTAAACATGTCAACCACGATTTGCATGCTAAAAACAAAGTGATAAATGAATGGGCTGTCTTTGGTTACAACTTTTATGAGGGCTGCAGGGTAATTATGAATATGTATATATATATACATTTGTATTTTGTATTTAAGCCCTCATCTGCTTTTAGTTTTACTCATTTCTTCATGTTTTACTGTACCAGATGAAACATGGAGAAGCCATCTAGACACCTAGATATCGGTGCAGAGTGTGCAATAAAAACTTTCACTGAAAAATCCAACCTGACGAGGCATCTGAAGATCCATACTGTCATCAGGGAGACCTTTCACTGTGATGTCTGCAGGAAGAGCTTGACCACCAAATCATTGCTGGTCAGCCATCAACAGCAACACCAGTACCCCAACATCGTTTTGTACCGACAAGAAGAGGCCAGGCTGCAGTGTACAGAGGCAGCAAAGTCTGTGGCAGAGACCCCAGCACCGTTGTTGACCCTACATGGCTGGATCCTAAGACAGCAGAGGCGGCTGCCAAGAGGTCCGGGGGTGTGGAAAGGTCAGCTGGTCATCATGTTCGGGAAGTACACCGGTCAGACCTTCAGGTGGCTTCTAGAAAATGATGTCGGCTGGCTGATGTGGTTGCTGTTCCAGTACTGCCAGCAGGGAGAGCAGAATGAGCTGCTGAAGTTGCAGAAGGAGCGACTGCTCCAGTACGCCAGTGAGTTCCCTCCTGTCACATGGCACTATAACAGGAGGTTGAAGGTAAGATAAACTCAGTTACCTTTTAGACCTGAGTAACTGATGTTAAGCAGTGACTAGTATTAGTAAAAGTATCATTTTATGAGATTATTCTATGGTTGTATTTTATTTTCTGCAGAAAGCTCAATCAAAGAAAGACCGGGCTCCGTTAACCGTCCCGACGTCAGCGATACCAAGTTGTTGGCTGCTGCAGGTTTAGTATTATGCTGAAATGAACATGAAATGACTTTGTAGTATGCTGTGGAGCTGCTAGGACTTGTGTTTGTGCCATGTGAAATTTATCAATATGTATCGAGCAATGCTGTTGATACATTTTTGTGTCAAGTACACTAAAGCAGTCGTGATCTAGGTGAATACTCAGCAAATATCAAAACTATTTTCACCCTGGTTGTTTTTTTTTAAACCTGACTATGTTCATGGTGCTGTCCACGTAATATGTAGTCCTGAAGGTCCAATATGATCAAGTCTGCAACTTGGGTACAGTGTTTGTTTATATTCGCTTGGAATATTTTTGGGGTTTTGCGTTCAATATCTCGTGAATTGAATATTGTTACAACACAAATAACATTGTTTTAATTGTTTTAATCTCCTCAAAACTAGTTTTCCTTCGGGTTTGCACTTTGCAGATGGTCCCTTCTTAGCAGCCTGCTCATTGAGATCTGTCTGGTTACTGATATTCTTCTAAATATCAGAAAATCGTCTGAATGGATTCGAAAACGATAAAACTCAATTGTTTAACTCTGGGGGAGTTGTACTGTTTAACTCTGGGAGAGTAATTCATTAGATAACAACATTAATTCATTATAACAGTTAATTGTATATTTATATTATACTTATATAGAGAAGGAATGTGTACATAAATACACTATTTTTATTAAAAGAATTAAAAATAGTGAAGTTTTTTGTTGTATGCAGAGTTTAGCTTCAAGCCTAATTAAACAAACTTGATCAGCTAATCAAGTCATTCAGGCTTATTTTGAAAACTGCAGGCGTGTGTGTGTGTGTGTTGAAGCAGGGTTGGAACTAAACTCTATATATGGCTGTGGCCCACTTAGGTAAAGTTGGTTTTATATTCGCGGACTTCCGCGTTCAATAACTCGTGAACTAAACGTTTTTGCTACAAACAACACATATATCTACAGATAAAACACCAGGGCCCGTATCCCTAAAGATTCTGAGAATCCTCTCAGAGAGCTCCTAACTTAACCTAAAAATTCCTTGCCAGGAGTTTTAGCTTAGAAGGGATTCCAGAACATTTTCAGTGAACTCTGAGCAAGGAATGGATGGAAAATCCTATCCTGGAAAATCCTGAGGAGGTGTCCCAGACAGCAAACTGACATTGACTCAACGTGGAAACGACGTCTCTCATGACATTGAAACAACGTTGATTTTGCTCATCGACTTAACGTTGAACCAACGTCAGACGCGGCATTCTTCAAAGCTAAATGAAATCGAAAATTGGTTTGCTTTCATAACGTTGAAACAACGCGTTGATTTCAAGTTTATTTTCCGTTAGTTTTGAAAGAATGACCCGTCTGACGTTGGTTCAACGTTAATTCGATGAGCAAAACAATGTCAGATCAACGTTGTTTCGATGTCATATTTCCACGTTGATTCAATGTCAGTTTGCTATCTGGGGTGGTTGATTGCCGTGATTGATTCCTACAAGTTTGATGAAAATGAACTTTTGGTGATAATGAGCAAAGGCTGTACCCTCAAATCAATAAACATAATTATACACTCTAATCTTATGCAGACTGTAATTGTAAATAATATTTCACATTCAAGAAAATATCTGAAAAATGAATAGTAAGCTGTAGGGGTTATATAGCCTAACATTAGAATCTAAAATTTGTGAAAGCTCATTACACCCTGTTCAAATAATGATTCATGTCTTATTTGCTCACATTAATATCCTAGCTGGCATATTTTGTACTTTCACTCTCATATGGACCCCATTGAAAACAAGATGGCCTCTATCTCAAGGGGCTGTCCTTAATGAAGTAGAAATTGCAACATTACAACTCAGTGTGGTCTTAACGAGGGTAACACGGCTCAGCTTTTATCAATGTCTGTGATTGCTAGCTGGTCTATTTATGAAAGCTTGTTAACAAATATCCTACAAACACAGAAAATGGAGGAAAAAAGGAAAAAAGAAATTTTGTGCAGCTGCTTAGAGGAACTCCTAAGCCACTAAAAGTCCTCTTCCCTGCTCTTAGCAGATCTCGCCTTAGGAGCGCTAGGAATCTTGAGGAATAGCTTTTATATTAATTGGGATTTTCGTGTCACTTTTAGGGGAAATTCTAAGAAAATGTCATGACTCTGAGAATTTTCGTAGAATTTGGCCGCTAGGAGCCACTTTTTGCACAAAAATTCTTTAGGGATACGGGCCCAGAAGCTACAACATTAATTTCCTCAAAATGATCTTTCCTTCACAGTGGACAAAATACATTGTTTCTGGTCCCATTGACTTCCATAGTATATTCCTACTAAATATCAGAAAATCGTCTGAATGCATTCGAAAATGGTAAAACTCAACTGTTTAACTCTGGGGGAGTTGAAAAATGAGCCTATTTCCAAAAAAAGTGAGTATCCCTTTAAGAGTAACATTTTCTTCTAGAAGGTCGTATAAGGAATGAAGAATTCAATAATCATTAAGTCTGATGCATTTTATCACCTCCCTACCATAAACATAAATGCTTAATGTTGCACTGATGTTAATGCTAAGTATTTTTAACATACGTGGTAGCTTTAAAAACAGCAACATTAAAGGGTTAGTTCACCCAAAAATGAAAATTAAGTAATTAATTACTCACCCCCATGCTGTACCAACCCCGTAAGACCTTCGTTCATCTTCGGAACACAAATAAAGATATTTTTGATTGAATCTGAGAGCTGGATCAGTCCTACATCGACTGCCTAAGGGACTGGCTCTTGACGGCCCATAAAGTCATTAAAGAAAAGGTTTAAATATTCCATGTGCCTACAGCGGCTCAATTATAAGTTTATCAAGCGATGAGACTACTTTTTGTGCGAAAAAAATATAAATAACGACTTTATTCCACTATTCCATTACTTCCTCATGGGCGCATGCGCGAGAACTGAGACGAGGACGTTCTCATTCGTCTACTTCTTGTTACCGGCTGCTCACCGCTTAGGAGTTTTACCGCCCCCTACCGTATAAGATGATGTGCTGATATAGCTGGAAGCGCAAAACTTTCTGTTTACAAGCAGAGGAAGATGCGCGCTGTACATACGCTTTTCAATTTGCGTATTTTCCGCACTATAAGGTGCACTTAAAAGCCTTTAATCTTCTCAAAAAACGACAGTGTTCCTTATAATCCGGAGCGCCTTATATGGATCATCATTTTATACGGTAGGTGGCGGTAAAACTCCTAAGCGGTGAGCAGCCGGTAACAAGAAGTAGACGAATGAGAACGTCCTCGTCTCAGTTCTCGTGCATGCGCCCATAAGGAAGTAATGGAATAGTGGAATAAAGTCGTTATTTATGTTTTTTTCGCACAAAAAGTATTCTCATCGCTTGATAAACTTATAATTGAGCCGCTTAGGCACATGGAATATTTAAACCTTTTCTGGGCCGTCAAGAGCCAGTCCCTTAGGCAGTCTATATAGGACTGATCCAGCTCTCAGATTCAATCAAAAATATCTTTATTTGTGTTCCGAAGATGAACGAAGGTCTTACGGGGTTGGAACAGCATGGGGGTGAGTAATTAATGACTTAATTTTCATTTTTGGGTGAACTAACCCTTTAAGCATTTACGTTTTATGTTTATGGTAGGGAGGTGATAAAATGCATCAGACTTAGGCTAATTATTATTTTATTTACATGGAATGCATAGTAGAAACACTTAAAGCAAAATGTGCAAAACGTATTGAAACACATTTTATTTTACTGTAAAATGAACAATTCATGAACAATAAAAAATTAATAAGTTGAACTAAAAAAAAAAAGTGATTCAAAAACTGTGGCTCCTCCGTCTCCCTCCTCCACCCTGATGATGGAGATCTCCACCTACACTGGCTCAGCTGCAGTCTTCTGAAATGTAATAACATCAACAGAAATCTCAGCAAAGCCAAGGCATTATATATCAATAGACACGAGTGCTTGCATTACATACTATTAAAGGGAAACATGTTAATAGTAAAGTTACTTGACCACATGATCTAACAAGAAAAATGCTTCTGAAGCATTTATTTATCTTCATTAATGTTCAGGGATGCAAAAAAAAAAAAGAGAGGTAATCGAAGCCCTCGCCCGCAGAAAATCCAGATACTTACATTGCCACCAACCCCCTCCATTCCCGGTCCACCCCAAGGCACATAGTAAATATGTTTCAGTCTTTAAATCATTTTTCACAAAAAAAGGTGTTATAAAAAGATAAACCTCCCATATTTCAACCTTTAAATCATTTTTATAAAAAGAATGAGTCTAAAAGCTTATCTTATATTATTAATAGTAAAATCCGGTCCGATTTTCCTGTGGCGTCTAAGCATCCATGCACACTGCGCTCTCCACAACGACAAAGAAGTTTTAGTAGCTAATAGATTCTCACTACCGAAAAACGCTTCCTGTAACTGCTACAAGATTTATTCACGGAGAAGAGAAAAATACTTCCATGCTGAAATACTTCCGTAGGCGTGCTTCCCATGTGCCTACATTTGAAATAGCGAACTTGAGAGCGCAAAAGACACAATATGTGAACGGCCCTACGCCGTTTATTTAGTCTCAAAACTCGCAGACAGGATACGAGAGCAAAAAAACATTATGGACAGAATGGCATCCACGTGCAGGCGCGTTTCTGCACAGTGAGCATGCACGTTTCTGCACAGTGAGCATGCACGATGCCATCCTTGACGAGCTACCTCCAATCAGGCCACAAGCTAGTGGAAGAAACACTATTGGTACACGCATGCACCAAGCGGCAACCTCCCCGTCTCTCTCTTGAAGCCAACACGGAAGTGAATTAAACTGCAATTTATCGAGTGGCCGCTTGAGGCAGGCTGCAGAAGCGAGTCAAATCTGTATCTCCCCCATGTTAAAATGCCCAACTTTACAGCAGAAAAAAACATGTTTACAGCCTGGAGCAAAAAGTGGCTTTGGTCTATAGAGCTAATTTTTCCCTTCATGACAACTGTGAGGGGGGTGAATTTTTTTACAACTCATCTGTTTAAATTATATTTAAGCCTTAAAGTTCTGCATAATTAAGGGCGTGGCCACTTGAGTGACAGGTGGGTTCTTGCTGCCGCGTTCACTCACTGTCGTTTGTCTGCTGTCTGTTAGCGTCACCCTCAGCTGTGTTTGTGCTTTACCGGGATTATTTCATACAGTTTAATACATGTATTATACCTTCGCCCGTGCACGCTGTTGGATTCCGTCGTGTCGAGTATGGAAAGAACAACCAGCGCCGTGTTTCCAGCTGTTTCCCTCGCATGCAATAATGGATGTCTGATGATTTCAGCGCGTTCTCTCCGTCCATGCAATAGATGCACACCCTTAAATGAGCGCGGATTTCTAGTTCATTTACTTGAAGTTCTGAGGTAATATTTGGTTTGACCCATCTGACAAACTGAGAGGCGGCCAAAATCAGATTGTAAAATGGACTGAATTAAAGCTCTTTACGAACTTGACGTGAGATGCCGACTGACATGTGTGCTTGCCTTGAATCACTGTCGCATGCACAAGCTTAGAGCAATATTGTAAGTAACTTATGCATTTTAACTAGCAGAATAATAATGCATCACAATGCACATAGTTGACTGCTTGTATGTTGTGAGAAATGTGTGTGATCTGTGTTAATGTACTTGTATATATGCTCTTAACTAATTGCCCCTTGTGAGATTAATAAAGTTGATAAAAAAAGTTAAGTTGTCTCACTTTTAGTTACATCTTAACTATTATAATATTTCGAAGGGCAAAACATGAACTTTAACCATTGGCTTTACTTTTTCAATCAGCTGTCAATTCAGCGGCAGTAGCATAGCATTAGCACCTCAGCTCCACCCGCGTCCCGCCTCTTTGCCCATTTTAATTTATCCGGTAGTGACGAGAGGTGACGCACTGCCAAGATGGCGACGGTCGGCCCCGCCCACTTTAGGCCTCAAAATCGCTCTTCAGAAACCTATGGGTGACGTCACGGACACTACGTCCATATTTTTTTACAGTCTATGGCATGCACGCATACTGCTGTTTTGACGTGCAATGTTCTGATTTGCTTATGTCCTATTTACTTGTTTGGTAGGCAATCCAGAATTACTGTTGGTGAAAAAAATAATAAGACCCCAACCCCACCCCTAAAAAAATCTCTTCGGATCTGCACGATTCACACAAGTCACCCAAACTGACGTGAAAAAAGCGGGAGGCGCCGAAAAGCATGCTGTTTGCATCCCTGAATGTTAATTTCAACATTTACTAAAACGTTATATAAGTGAAAGTTTTTGGAAATGTTGTATTTTATAAACTAACATTATGTGTAACACAGATTGACAAGTACTGTAAAAAATGTGTTACTCAACTTTTGGTAACTTAGTCGATTTATTAATATTAACTAATAGTGCCTAATTCTAAAGTGTTATGAAGCAGGGTTATTTGTATACTTATGAATTACACCAAAAAATATTTCTTTTTGTATTACTGAGAGTTTCGTTTTGGGTTTATTCTGCCTGCGCGTCGGGTTAGTGCAGTGTGTGCGTGTGACGTCATTAGACCAGGGACTTGACCCGTACAAGTTTGACCTCAGTCAGAGGATTTGACTGAGATGCTAACCTGATGTCACACAACACTCATTGCCATATTGTTTATGACCGCAGATAATAAACTGCATTGTGACTGGCCGTGCCTCTGAGTCTACTTTAGAACAACCCAGAACACAACGGAGAAAGACAAGACGGGTTACAGTTACCAATATAAATCATTACCAATGAAAGTATTAGATTTTAAAACAAGGTACCCCCAGGGTCCTCCAACTTAAATTCAAGGCTTTTTAAGACTTTTTTAATACCATTTCAAATGAAATTCTAGGGCTGGGCGATATATATCGTTACCGCGATAGAAAACGTCAGTCGTAACAGATTTTTTTATTCCGTGTATACCGCGAAATGCAAATAAGGGGGCGTGGTTAACTTCCGTGCAGCGCGCGTGAGACTGATGCTGAGATTTGTCAAAGAAACATGGAGAAAGCAGATCAAGAGGATCCACAAAGGAATTACATTTTCTAAAAAATTACCTGCCATCATCATCATAAATTCATAATACATTAAGGTTTTTTACTTTAAAAAACGAAATAAAAGCATTCAGGGGCTTACCTGGTGACTCGATGAGGTACAAATAAATGTCCGGGTAAGACAACTCTGGCCACTGGGTGGGGTTGTTACACCAATTTGACGCTGGGAGAATAAAGGGATGTGTTTTTAAATTGGCCAAATTAAGTTTGTGTATGTATCTTTCACGCTCTATGGCTGGCAGGGTGGACATATAATTACTTGACATGTTTTATATAAGTGATTTCTTAAGTTATTTACGCCTATCGGCTGTGTACGGACGTTGTTTTTTGCTGTTATTTTGTATTGAAGTCTATGGGGAGTCTAGTTTGTTTTCCCCCAAAAGTGGGCGTGAACCTATTCAGAGACATTCTATGCCGCAGCACCGGTTGTGCGTATAACGTGGAGCGCGAGGGGCACTCAACGCTGCATACATTTTGAATTAGCCTACATTAGTAACAGTAAATTTTGTTACGGTATGAACTTAATCCAAGGAAAGGCAAAAAAAAAAAAAAATAACACCTTTGTAACGAAATCCAAGACTTTGTATACAAAATTTAAGGCTTTCAAGGCCTTAATTTGAGATCCGCGGGTACCCTGTAAAAGAATGTATATTCACTTGGTACACACTCAGGAGTGTAGGAAGACGCAGAAAGATCAATTAGAGAATAATTAGGCATTCTGTTGTGTACCTCCACAGCTGAATAGCTGGATGTGTTCAGTTTCGCCGCAGGTCTGAGAGTTGCCCTGAGGAAGGAAATCTCAACGTGATCCCCCAGGCTGAGCTCGACCAGGGCCTCGTCACGCCAGAGGGACACGTCCAGCAGCTTCTGCCCACACCGCAGAGACAGGTCTCTGATGGGCACCTCTCCAACACCCACTCGGGTCATCCTGGGGACCTGCATCTGCAGGATCACAAGGGGAAGATTGTTGTTAATGCAATGCAATTGAATACAATTACTAGAGCTTAGACATAATTTATATAACATTGGCTGTGAATCTGATTAAAATGCGTCTTTAAACAAAATGTTACCTTAATTCAACCTAAGTATTAAAACTGTAGTCACTTTTCACTTATTTATGTATAAAAATGCAATAAAAATAATGGAGGAGATTGTTTAAATATTGATATAATAATAAAAATTTGTGGTTATAGAATTAAAATGGGGGGGGGGGGGGGTGGTCTTTTAAAAAGTTAAATTAAATTATTGAATAAAATGTTGTTTCTTTAATTTTCTCACTTTTTCAATTTGTCCCTTCAGGGAGATGAATCCTCCCCTTGTGAACAGGTCGTGCTCTTCCCCGGACATCAGCACAGTTGGTGGATTGAGGAGGTATCTGGCTGATCTTTCTGCCTCCTCCGGCAACTCAAAGGAGGCCGTTTGAAATTTCCTTGAGTTGGGGTTTAGGAAAATGCACTCCCGTCCAAATTTCTGGGACAGGGTGTAATTTTTAATTATATAGGCCTTCCTGGTTTCAAACAATGGGCTGTCACCATCCACGGGAGCAATAAATGCCCTCACACCATCACTGAGGGCACTTATTGTGGTGGTTTTAAAGGAGGCTATTTTTATTTTGCCATTGGACACCTCATAGATCTTAGCACGGCGGTTTGTGCGATTGTCAACACAGGTGATCCGGGTGGGTGCAGGCCTGCTGTATGGTGAACTTGCTGATGACATTCTGGAGGGTAAGAGAAAATACACTATGATTGAAAGAGTAAAGGTGATGATTCACTGGGCAACTTTTAGAGCAATGTTGCTTGGGCACTTTCCCATTTAGACGGAACACAAATTTCAAATCTCAATGTGAAAGTGCCCACAACAAAAAGTTGCCCCATGTATAATCATCTTTAGACAGAAGACCAATGGCAATTCATCATGCAGATAATACTACATCCAAAAGAAGCACCATTCAGTTATTGTCATGACAATATAGTTATTGTCATGTCTTCATTACGTTTTAAAAAACATTAATGTAATTTGAATTAAGTTAAATTACTTCAGAAACTAAATTTTCCTGTCAGAAATACTCCTCTCACAACAAATCCTGTCACAATTTAGTTCATTGTATTGTAATGTCTTCCGTTTAAAAAGTCATTAATGTAATTACAATGATTACAATACAATGAACTATATTGTGACAGGATTTGTTGTAAGAGGAGTATTTCTGACAGGAAAATTTAGTTTCTGAAGTAATTTAATTGAATTAATTTCGTTTAAAAAAATCATTCATGTAATTTGAATTATGTTTAAAAATAGTCCTTCAATTTTCCTGTCAGAAATACTCCACTCACAACAAATCCAGTCACAATTCAAAATTACATGATTTCTAAAACGTAATGAAGACATAGCAATTACAAACTATATTAAATTAAATTACTTAAGAAACTAAATTTTCCTGTCAGAAATACTCTCTCAGAACGAATCTTGTCACAATAGTGTATTGCCATGTCTTCATTACGTTTTTAAATCATTCATGCAATTTAAATTAAGTTTAATAAAACTATTTCAGAAAATATATTTTGCTGTCAGAAATTCTCCTCTCACAACAAATCATTTTAGTTTATTAATCCTCTATTGTCAACCTGTCTTGTCACCATCATAGGCCCTATCACTTTCCTTTTTATCGAATTACGTATATAGTTGTGAAGTAACAACTGAAGCAACATTTGAAGAAAAATACAAAGTGACTTACCTCAGAAAATAGGTTTTGATGAATGATCAAGGACAAGGGGCGCAAGGGTGTTTTATTCTTGGCAGAAGTCCAATCAGAAATATCACCAAGGCACATGATGACTTTTGGCCAATGGTCTTCTTTTCTTGTGTGCATGCAATAATAGGCCTTATGAAGCCCCGCCCCTTTTCAGCGCTGCTTGAACTCAGAAAGGACCTGAACAAAACTCTAATTTTGTTCTGTTTGTTTTTCTACAAACGCCTGGACGCCTGGTGGAATGATTTTTTTAAAATAAATGTTATTTATTATGTTTTTATTGAAATTGTATTATTTTAATGATTGTATTTATTATTATAATGTATGCATTAAAATAACTTATTTTTAATTGTATTTATTATTATGCATGTATTTAAGTGAACTTATTTTTAATGAATTGTATTTATTATAATGTTTTAAATTAACTTATTTTTAATTAACTATTATTTCTAATTTAAATAAACATATTTTAATGAATTGTATTTGTTATAGTAATGCATGTATTTAAATTAACTTCTTTTTTAATAAACTTCATTTATTATAATGTATTTAAATAAACTTATTTTTATGCACAAGTATGTGTATTTATTATAAAAAAAATGGATGTCTTTAAATTCATTATTTTTTTCCAATTAAAACTAACCCTAGTTGACTTTATTAATTTAATCATTTTATTATTGTTGGTATTCTTTAGTGATGTTTTACTTAATTAAGCGTTTATACAATGGGGAAATTTTCTGAAATTTCAAATGTACAAAAATAGGTGACCGTTACCAGTTTTCAGCACATGATTGATTGTATCTGCGCGTGGGAAATCATCAGGTAACTGTCTTATGTCTTCAAAAATTCAGAAGAATTATCAAAATAGTGGTGAATTAATAAAAATAAATGTATTATAGCCTTTTTACGACAGAGTATTAAGACTTATGAGTATTACTTTCGTAACTGCTGTTTCTGAGTTAATTTACGTTTTAAATGTTTATCTTTTGAAACGTAAAGGAGTTAATTAACTGAAATTCATTTACATCCGTTTTGTTATTGGGGTGTGACGTTAATGGCCGAGCCATGGATATAAAGGCTGGGTTAAGTCGATATTGTGCACATATTGAACATGTATGAAGGCTTTAAAGGGTCATTCTACCTCTGGAAAATTGAATGTGTACTTAAAAGGGGTCATTTATGTAGAAGAAATGTGAAATTATTTTTGAATTTGGCGCTTTCTAGACTGAGAAAAGCCAGAAAATGTGTTTTTGGCTTATGTGGATGAAAGACAACAACTCCCAGAATGCACTTGCTTCGCTGCCCTAGGAGACCACGCCTACCGTTAACAGAGCACAGTAGGTAAACAACAGTGTAGGCTATTAGCTGTGTCCCAATGTGAAGGCTGCATCCTCCGTAGGCTGCATTTGAAGGCGATTGCGTCACAGCCGCGCGATGAAGGCTGTCCCAATTCAAAGGCTGCACCCTCCGAAGGTCGCATTTGAAGGCCGATTGCGTCACCTCAGCGTGATGAAGGCTTTCCCAATTCAGTTATGCATCCTCCGAAGGCCGTATTCGAAGGCTGGTTGCGTCATCGTGGCGCAACGAAGGCTACCCTGATTCAAAAGCGAATCAGGTTTTCAAAGCCAAATGCACCCTTCATTTCGCCTAGAAAGAGAGGATATGTAAATGGATCCTACCCGATCCCACGCGGCCTATCCTACCCCATAAGTCATTGCGCTGGTGACGACAGCATTTTTATTTTTTTTTAAAGGGCGGCCAAGAGTTCGGTGGTGGATGGCAAATTCACATTTAAACGTAAAAGTATTGTTTGGATGTTGGATGTTGTTTATTTTTGAATGGCATCTGAGTGGTTGCAAGGTTGACACATTTAAACTATAGGATTGCCTGTTTTAGTTTAATTTAAAACAATGCGTAGTGTTAATGTCCTGTGAGGGGGATAAGTAGGCTACTACACATTTACATGAATAGCCTATGAAGTAGGCTGTGAAGTTCATTCTCCCACTGGTTATAAGTTATAAGTAAGGACACGTAAGTTACCGTTCTCGTAGGAGCGGGAATTTTCTTAGCAATGTTAAAACGCACATCAACCGATCACTTTTTTTAGCGTTCATGTAAATACTACATTTAGATTCACCAATAAGAATGAATTCAGTTAGATTGAAACAAAAGCTGTACGTGTAAACAAAGCATGGTGACTGCAGAAAGCAAAAGCTGAATCCTGGACATCAACGGCCGGACATGTCCGGGAAAAAGAGGACGGTAACCCCTAAAGTTACTACCCAGCTTTCTCCACAGAACAAGAGCCTGCTAGCTTAGCTTCCAAAAAAGATGGCTGACACTAAGTGTAATTCCAATCCTCCATAATGCATCCATCCTGCCTTCATCCATATTTTCAAAAAGTTTTTGCCGGTGAAATCAAACGCATTGATCTGTGATAGGTCTTTTAGCGCATTAGGTCCACCCCCCTATGGACAGGTTTGAAAGGGTGGGATCTAGAGCTTGTAGTCTTTATAGAAATCCCCCCCTCTTACACTTCCTCCTACAATGACGTAAAATGACGATTTTTGCGTCATTGTAGGAGGAAGTGAAAAAAGGTAAATAGCAGATTTCTTTCGTCTCAGGGGAAAATGAGAGTGTTGCATGACCATTCAATATTATAACTGAGTTTCTAACAATGGAAAGCTTAATGCAAATGGGTGGAGTGTCCCTTTAACTTATGTAGGGCTGGGCAATAAAACGATAACGATAATTATCGCAATATAATTTTCCTCGATAAAATGATAACAACAGTTCGATAAATGCTCGATATAATGCTTATGCACTATGGGTAATGCTGCGCATGCGTTTTGCAGACCGGGCTTCCGAGTGCAGCACGCGGTGTTATTGACAGACACAGTGGCTGACAGGCTTGAAGTTGAGTGAAACAAGAAAAATGAGGGATAGTGGAGAAAATACAATGCCCACGACCAACTCGGAGGACACAGACATCGTAGACAAGAAAGGTCACTCAACATAAGTGGTTTGGAAATATTTGGGATATTTGCAATCCGACAAAAAACAGAGCAACGTGCACTGCAAACTGTCCGGACGACTAGTGCCATCAAACACAGGCAATACCTCAAACATGTTTCATCGTTTAAAACAATGTCACCCATTAGAACATGAGGAAGCTAAGAAATTACAGTCCCAATCCCAAATAAGTGTTAGTAGCCGTCGACAATCAACAAGCACCAATGCGACTCAGCAAAGTATCATATCATCATTTTCACACTCTGTGCCTTATGACAAAAAAACCCAAAAGACACGAAGACATAACAAAAGCAGTTGCTTATTGCATTGCAAAAGACATTCTTCCCATTAGCGTTGTCGAAAATGAGGGATTTAAGAAGCTTATCTGCATCCTTGACTCCAGATATTGTACGAGCTAACTGGCAGAAAACATTTTTCACAGACAGCGATTCCCCGAATGTACAGTACACGGAGTGCAGGGAGAAGGTAGAGCGCCAGCTGCAAAATGTGCAGTTCTTCGCCTCTACTTCTGATATGTGGTCTAGTCGCACATATTGTACTCTACCTTTTTTTTTTTAAATAAAATTGTTGAGAGAATTGCCTTAAAAAGCAAACTGTGTAGGCTTTGGTTAAAATGCACCAACCAAATGTAATATATCACATACCAAAATATTGCATATTGCACAAATAAAATATTGCAGACGGAATTTTATGAACGGGTCCAAAACGGACCCGGGCAGGATACGATGCTCATATGAACGGGTCCAAAACGGACCCGGGCAGGATACGATCCTCATATGAACGGGTCCAAAACGGACCCAGAGCGGATATGTGGCTCATTCGCGGATCCAAAGCGAAGCCGGGGCGGATGTACCTATTTATGTACGGATACGTAAAGGGACCGCAGCGACGTCGGACCGGATCCGCGAGCCGCCACCGTGTCGTATCCGGTGTGCAAGTGGACTCTGTTTCGGATCCGCTTTCTTGATCCGTTCCGGAGTTCACTGAACCTCTGCGGCGGATGCATTTCGTAGTCAGTTTGCTGTCTGGAATGTAACAGATATGTGTGAAATGTTGCACCACTATAGTCTATATGCAATATAGTATGTGATTACCCATTGTATTTCTTTTCTATATTTTTTGAGGATTTAAAAAAAAATGGTTGCCGCATCAAACAAAAAAGAATACAAGGATCTTGCTCCTTGGGTCAGGAGTGTCAGCAACCACATGTGGTGGAGCTGTTGCACATCCAAAGGAGATGCAAAGGTAGCCGTGCATACAGAAAAAGCTCATCACCAATTTATATTATGGGATATTATATATATCGAATGCTATATGCAGCTCAAATGTACATCTAATTTTTGGTCTTCAACACGGAAGCCAACTGTATTGTATTACAGACGGTTAAAAGTGTGCCTCTGCTGCTCTTGTTTTTTCAGGAGCTGCTCCGACGATGGATGTCTCTCCAACATCACATCACTGGGGTCCATCGCTGGGAAGAAAACGGAACGGAATACAGATGTTTCCATCAGGACTTGTCAGCAGAAGAACAAAGATCCAAGAGGTGGCTAAAAGGGAATTCCCCTGCCTTCAAAGCCCTTCAAGCAATGATTATGGACACACAAGACCTACAACAGATGACACTGTTCAAACACACAGGTATGTGTATCAAAGACTTTCACAAACAAAAATATTACAATGGTTAAAGTCAAGTCTGTCTTAGTGAGAATAGGTTATGGAAAACTATTTTGCAATAGGTCTGTATGAGGGGGGGATTGTTACACCACATTTGAATAATAGTACTGCGCTTCCTATTCATGACACAGTGCTTCGAAAGAACACAACTTTTCATGTTATTGTTTTTACATTGCAAAACATTTTGCTTTTTTTATTTCTTAGGACAACTTGAGGTCTTTCACAGTGCACTTTTGAAGTACTGTCCAAAGCGACTTCATTTTCGATACCCTTCAATGAAGGCACGCACTATGCTAGCCATTATGGATCACAATGAGAATCACTCCACAAAGCGGGAACAGGCAACAACAGCATCCGGTGAGAACAAAATGAGTGCAAATTAATATAATATCACTGAGTATTTTCCCTGCACAGTTCTTTGCATCATCCATAAATTAACATGATCTTCAAATAAAATCTGGCACAAATATTACAGTAAATAAATATTATTAATTAAAAAAAAAACAGCCCCAGTCCTAACATATGTAATAATATTATAAATATCAAAATTATACATGTACTATACTTCTAACACGTTCATTCATTATATTTTTGATTTCAGGCCACACAAGACACAATGTTGTCTTTCAAAAGCAATCAAAGCAGTGGACTGCTAGACCAATTTATGTGAAAACAACTCAAAAATTCAGAGACGACCTCATGGACGGAGTGATCCAAAAAAGACTTGACCCCACAATCAGATTCAAAGACCCATCATCCCGTATCCAGGTACCTCGCCTAGCTGCCAACATTGCATTGCAAACAAAGCCCAGCAAAGAGGAGGTCATACAGACACACACCTCGAGATTCAAAGGTCCATCGGAGCCATTGTAACTTTTGTTTACAGCAGACATGAAAAGGAACCTGTGCCATTGAAAAACCTCAGGAAGGGACTTGTACTTGCATAACAAATGTATAAGGCAAATGACAGTTATTATAGTTAATATTTTTGTTGTTCTATTTAAAAAAAAAATTATTTATTTTCCAAATTTGTGACTTCACTAATGTTTGAATAAATTTGTCAAAACAGCTTTTGCCTAGAGAACACATGGCCTATCGTATTTATTTGGGGATTTAATTGAAATAAAATATCCTGGATGTTGCATGAGTGATTATATCAGAAGTCATTTGATTTATCAAACGCGATAAAAATATCACTCCAGGTGTTGTAGGTTCAAAGCTTTATTTACCAAAAAATATAGGAAACTTAAATGAATACAAATAATACAAAAAAATTACAATAAAAAAGTGCTGCACATTTACATATTGATTGGAATATAGAAAAGTAATACAAACAGGTAGTCAACAATTCTGGCACAAGCTGCAGTGCAATTGTCCCACAGATGTCTGTGAAACATGTAGCCAAAATCATTTAGGTCTGAACTCAGGGCCCAGAACATATTGTCCAGTAACAGTCATTATGCCTACATATCCACTGCCTCATGTATTTCTTGAAATCCAACAGAGACACCGGAATCTGAAGGATATCTTTGTCGTAGTCCCGACCACACATGATGGCAGTGGTTTCCGATTGCCTCTGCCCAAAGTTTCACCCTGTAGGACCCATTCCAGCACTATCCGGTAGCACCAACCTATTTTGACTGAGAAGATAAAGATAGGCTAAGTTTAGACATTTATAAATGAAAACATGATACATAGGCATATTTAAATGATTATAGCACTTACTCTGATGATGGCTGGCCATCTGGTCCACTCGGCGTCGGTCGTTTCCTCCAATTGACTTTGTCACAATGAACGAAAAATTGTACGACTGCCGGGTGAATCATCGCTGCAAACGCGGCATCGCTTGCCGCGACACATGCGATTTGTCCAGGGTCTTCTGTATCTACATTGACCCCCACCTTCGATGGCAACACCTGGTCCCATTCTGAACAGCACAGGCTCTCAATTTCGGTCGGCATCTGTTTGCAACAGTCACACTTGCACCACCAATTGCTGTTTGCCCGTGGTCTTTCGCCGGCTCCGGTCTGTTCTTGTTCATATCTTTCTTCCCTCTCATGGTCCATAAGAGCTAATTCCTCCTCCGTGTACTCGGGTTCAAACAGATATGGCTCTGGGTCTGCTACAAACAAGTCATAATCATCTACAAAGTCCGCCATTGCAAATGATCTGCAGTTTGCTATAGCACAGGTGGTTAAAGTCACGTTGGTTGTATTGACGGAAATGAGAGGGAGGAGGAGAGGGAGCGGGAGCCGGTGAGAGGACTTTTCACGAGTGATGTGTTACTGCGCCAAGTCGAAGTGCTGCCTAGCCTAGGTCACCAGCCTAGGTCGAGTTAGACTAATCGAATAACTGTGTTTAAACAGGGAAAACGAGGAAGTGTTTGGTCGCTTCTCTTTTTGGCCCATATTTAATGCACTGGGGTAAGCTAAATGCTAACATAGTTTGCGACAAGACAGAACGGTTGAGTGCACGCACTGAGACGAGACAGGTATGTATCAACTCGTCTTAATTAAGGGAATAACATACTTTAATATGAAAAAGCGGTGGAGTATCCCTTTAAATCTGAGAGCTGGATCATCCCCCCATACATAGGCTTCTATGGGACTGAAACTTGCCAGCCTCAAAAGTTATTAAAGAAATCCTTAAAAAAACATCTGTACAGGGCTCCAGACTAACTTTTCCAGTGGTTGCACTGGTGCTAACAACTTTCTCAGTTGGTCGCACCAGCATATGATTTGGTCACAGTTTTTTTTGCTACATGCCATGGGATTAATCAATGCATGCTGATGAATAGTGGTTTTAATGGACCAAAGCTAGCAAATGCTTTCTGGGTTGCAGCATAAACACCTGTAATATATCAAATATCATTGCCAAATTTCAGGATTTTCATGAATTTTGAACAGTAATTTTAATCTGTAATTTTAAAAATTTTACATTTGAATTATATACAATCTATTTACATTTAAATCATATTCTATCTATCTATCTATCTATCTATCTATCTATCAGCATTATCTTTCTATCTTTTAAAAATCATTAAACATTCAAATGTATGCATTACATTTTAAAAGATTAGAGGATTATAATAAGCTAATACAGATTTTTCGTTATCAAAGTTTATAGTTGTAACAAAAATCAGAAATCTCACACTCCTTACCTTCTGCATTTTATAATAATTTTCTTTTCCTAACCGCTGAAAACCAGTTCTAACCGCTGAAAAGACGTAAGAAGGGGCACGCTGTGAGACATTTTCATTTTTATACGTTTATTTGTTTGTGAGACATTTATATTTGTATTCAATTCGTAATTGGCGTGTTTCTCCATCAGTGTGCAATGCGCGTGACGCAGTCAGTACTGAAACGAGAGTTCAAGAGATTTCCACAACTTCTACTACTTCAGTTCAGTTCTCGCGCATGCGTCGCGGAAATCTCTTGAAGTCTCGTTTCAGGCCTACAAGGAAGAAATGGAGTAGTCGAAAAAAGTCGTTATTTTTGTTTGTTTTTTCGCATAAAAAGTATTCTTGTCGCTTGATAAACTTATACTTGAGCCACTGTAGTCACATGGAATATTTAAACATTTTCTTCATTGAATTTCTGGGCCGTCAAGTTTCGATCCCTTAGGCAGCCTATGTAGCAGTGATCCACCTCTCAGATTTAATCAAAAATATCTTCATTTGTGTTCTGAAAACGAACAAAGGTCTTACGGGGTTGGTTCTGAATGAGGGTGATTAATTAATGACTTAATTTTCATTTTTGCGTAAACTAACCCTTTAGGAATTTAATGTGTCACTGCAAACCAGTTTTATCATAAACAGTGGTCAAATATCGAAGCTGGAGTCTAAATTAGGTTAAATTAGTATTTTTGGTAGGTTGCGCTGTCACAAAAAACTAGGGTCCTGGAACTGCGGTCCTACAACTGGGGTTCTGAAACTGCAGCCGCCAGTTCTGCGAGATGCAGTCACAAAGACTATCACGCTTCAGGCATTCCTAAATTTAATACATTTTCCAAACATGGTCAAAAAAGAGAGAGGTAATCGAAGCCCTCGCCCCGCGGAAAATATCCAGAAATTTACATTGCCACCAACTCCTGTACCTAGTAAATATGTTTCAGTCTTAAAATAATTTTTTCACACCTAAAAAAAAGGTTTTATAAAGACAAACCTCACATATTTCAGCCTTTCAATAATTTTTTTTTCACAAAAAAAAGGTGTCATAAAAAAAAAAACCTCCTATATTTCAGCCTTTAAATCATTTTTATAAAAAAGAATGAGTCGAATGAATTACTTGACATTTATATTAATGCACATTAGCTTATCTTTTATTATTTATAGTAAAATTCGGTCAGATTTTCCCGTGGCATCTGTCGTTGATAAGCATCCATGCACTGCAGTCTACATAACACGACACGACAACGACAAAGAAGTTTTAGAAGCTAATAGAGTTTCACCACCAAAAACCGCTTGCTGTAGCTCTGCTACAAGATTTATTTATGGAGAAGAGAAAAACATCGGTAGTGTTTGGGCACACCCTGATCCTTTATGTTTACTGAGCTTTCAATGGTGGTTGGTTCTTGTCACATGAAATGCGATGCGCTTGCGGCATTCTGAAAAGTTTTCATCTCGCTGCGCCTGGAAAAAATCGCTTCAATTATGAGCACGCTTACATTTGAAATAGCGAACTTCAGAGCGCAAAAGACACAATATGTGAACAGCCCTACGGCGTTTATTTAGTCTCAAAACTCGTGCACAGGATACGAGGGCAAAAAACAGTATACACGCACAGAATGGCATCCACTCGCAGGTGTTTCTGCACAGTAAGCGCACACGATGCAGTCCTCGCGCACGGCCCATTTGACTAGCTAGTCAGGCCACGAGTTAGTGGAAGAAACACTAGTGGTTCACGCTTGCGCGCATACTGCCATTTTGGCCCGCAGTGTTCTGAATCTGATTTGCTTATTTCTATTTCAACAAGTCCTCCAATTTATATGACCATAATGGTCATTTGCACCTTTCCTCAAATATGACCCACTGCGTTGTTTCCTAAAATAGTGCCCCTAAATGCGACGGGAGATATGCCACACAGAGTCGCCTCGATGCATTGTTGGTTTTCTACTTGATGCGGGAGATAATTGATGCTAAACCAGGTAAGTTGGGCTATTTTATCAGCGAACTTTGATAGCTAATATAATTTTAGAACAAAATAACATGCGAGGCGCTTAGTTGTCACATGTCTGTTCTGTCTTGTGTTGCACATGGGTGTTTTGTTATGTTGGGCCATGTGCCTCTGTCATTGTTTGATCCCTCCCCCTCGTTACCTGATTAGTGTTTTGAGTTTCTCCACCTGTTCCCTCTTGATTTGTTCCCTATTTAAGCCTCCTCTTGTTTGCTGTCTTTGTCGGATCTTTGTCGATTGTTGTCCGTATTCCTTGCCTTGTTCTTGTTCGCATCCAGTTTTCGTGTTTCTAGTTTAGTTCAGTTTTATGTTTCATTTATTATGTTTTTCCCCCCTCGTGGGTTTTTGCTTTGTGTTTTGGTTTTCAGTTGTTAATAAATATTTCACTTTTTGCACTTGAGTCCTCCTCTCCACTTTTTGTAATCCACCCGTGACAGAAAGATCCGACCACTGAGGACTCAGCAAAATGGAGGACGAGGAGTTCAACTGGGATGATAATTATATTGATGACGATTATTTGGATTGCCCAGACTATTTCGTCGCCACCTTTGGGGCAACACAATTTTCATCAGTCTACAGGGACAGCTCGGGACCTACTTATCGCCGTCACAGACGGAGAAGGAGGAGGAAATGCCCGTCTGCCCAGCGAGAGACTGTTCACGTCCCGTCTGCCGAGCGAGAGATTGTTCACGTCCCGTCTGCCCAGCGAGAGACTGTTCACGTCTCGTCTGCCCAGCAAAAGACTTTTCACGTCCCGTCTGCCGAGCGAGAGATTGTTCACGTCCCGTCTGCCCAGCGAGAGACTGTTCACGTCTCGTCTGCCCAGCAAAAGACTGTTCACGTCCCGTCTGCCCAGCGAGAGACTGTTCACGTCCCGTTTGCCCAGCGAGAGACTGTTCACGTTCCGTTTGCCCAGCGAGAGACTGTTCACGTCCCGTTTGCCCAGCGAGAGACTATTCACGCCCTGTCTGTCCAGCGAGAGACTGTTCACAGCCCGTCTGCCCGCCGAGAGACCGTTCACGTCCCGTCTGCCCGGCGAGAGACTGTTCACGTCCCGTCTGCCCGGCGAGAGACTGTTCACGTCCCGTTTGCCCGGCGAGAGACTGTTCACGTCCCGTCTGCCCAGCGAGAGATTGTTCACGTCCCGTCTGCCCAGAGAGAGATTGTTCACGTCCCGTCTGCCCAGCGAGAGACTGTTCACGTCCTGTCTGCCCGACGAAAGATTGATCAGGTCCCGTCTGTATCTCTGAGCTGGGACTATCTGGAGCGTCTGATTAAGACGTTGGAGGTGCCTGTCCCTGAGCCGGTGCCTGTCCCTGAGCCGGTGCCTGAACCTGAGCCGGAGCTCAAGTTGGTTCAGGACCCAGCGTTTTTGTCT